CAACACCATTCACGGAGGGTAATTGCACCATGGGAAAATGAGGCAGTTATGGGATTTGGGAAATGGTCACCGGGAGTTTGTGGAATGTAAATATTACACATCATCCTAGTTGAGTCTCGGGTTGGGAAACCATTATTTCAGAAATACTTTGGTTCCGCTAACAGTTCTGGAACGTCTGCATTCTTCCACCGATGTGAACGTAACACTGTTCTAAAATATCAGAGGACGCTGATGCGCCGTTATAGTTCTCCTTTTTAAAGTCTGTTGTAATAACAATCAGTGTGCATGTTATTTTACACTTTTTTTTATCTGAGTACAAGAGACTATTGAGTGCATGATATGATATTGATATTCTGTGCTGAAAATTTGGCGGGTTATATACACTAGTTAGTCTCTACTGGTAGGTGCAACTACATCTTTTTTTACCGACAGCTATATAAAAGCTATATAAAAGTAGTTATGGAAGCCCATTTCGGCCACAGAATGAAAAATAAAAAGGCAATTGCGACTTTTTATCTCACAATTCTGACTTTTTGCTCACAATTCTGAATCTATATCTCAGTTTGGAAACTCACAATACAGAGGAAAAAAACGTAGAATTGTGAGATAAAAATAAAATATTATAATTATTACTACATGTATATGTCTGTTTTCTTTGATGTCAGAAGAGTTAGAAAGTGGCGTGCAGGTTTTATGGACATCTTTTATTATACTTTAATAGTGTTTTTTGTCCTTCTGCTGTGCTTGTTTGACAAAAAAAAAAAAAAAATGCATGAAGATTCTTCACAGCAAAAAGACCCATTCATATGGGTTGAGTAAATGATGACAGAATTTTCATTCTGTGAGAACAACTCCCTTAAAGACATCAAGTTTAAAAGACACTGATGTGTTCATTTGCTCACCTGATGTTACCCCATGATGAGCAGACTGCGAGGAGCCGTCCTCATTACCGTCATCTATCCCTGCAGCTAAATCATAAAATGCCTGAGTGCAGTCTGGCTCCGCCGCTGGATAAGGAGGAGTGGAGGGAGTGTGGGAGAGGATGAGAGAGTGAGGTGGGGAAGAGCTGCTGCTGGACGCCCTGCTCTACCATTCTTTGTACAAACAGCTGGAAGTGAGAGAGAGGGAGAGAGACATGACAAAAACAGAAAACGAAGAGGACAGAAAGTCCAGGAGGAAAGCAGAGAACAAATGTGCGGATATTATGTATCATAACAAGTTTAACCCTTTGTGTCCACCTTCACACCAGTGCTATATTAGTATCATTAATGTACTCATAGCTTTTGTTAATACAGGGTCTGCAGGTTTTAGGAAGCTAAATCTGAGACTTTTTAAGATCTTTCTGAGACCAAGTAAAGAAAATGTAAGGAATAAATTGAACACAATTAGACAAAATGTCTAAGAAGCACACAAGTTCTATTAGCAACACTTCAAATTTTGAAAATACAACTTCCAAGAGATATGTATTACTTGTTTGGAAATAACTTTTACTGTACCTTCTGATCGCATTGCAAAAAGTGCTGTCTTTTCCCAGTGTTTTTGTCTTGCTTTCCAGTGCTAATGTCTAAAGGGTCTTAAATCAAGATCATTTTACTTCAGAAGAAAAACAAGTCTTGTTGTTTATGATTAAAACAAACATCTGCTTGTGGGGTCAGAAAAATCAACTCGATTCAAAGGAAAAACGAGTTTTCTTACCCCATTGACAGATAAGCATAAACTACGGAGCCCCGCACATGACATGCAAGAAAAAATAAATAAATTGTGCGCACGATTTACGAATTCGTTCCCTCAATGTTTCTAAAACGTGCACACGCTTACTATTTCATTCCCTCGATTTGCTAAATCGTGCGCACGATTTACTAATTCATTCTCTCGATTTATAAATCGTGTGCACGACTTAGCAAATCGAGGGAACAAACTAGTAAATAGTAAATTTAGCCTACTATTTTTTTCTGCATGCCATGTGCGGGGCTCTGTAATAAGCTGACTTGATGTAAAATTTCTCAAAAAAACAAGACTTCATTTAAGTATCTTCATTTAAGTGGCCAGAGCGCGTACAGAGCGCGTACACACCTCACGCACCGCATGCCGTGCGCCGTGCGCGCGCTCTAAGACAGTTGGACATAGTGGTGTATTAGAGATAAAAAATTATATAAATACTGTTCGGTTCTCTCGCACAAACCGATCGTTTCGTGTCTTAGGACTTCAATGTGTCGTCACGAGCCGCAGGGTTTAATTTGGATTAAACAAAGTCACCTACATCTTGGTTGCCCTGGGGGTAAGCAGATAAACATCACATTTTTATTTTTGAGTGAACTATCCCTTTAAGTCTAATATATTGATACTAACACCAAAAAAACATTAATTTTGATTTCATGGGGACTTTAAACTTGAAAACAAGACATAAATGCTGGAGAAGATATTCATTTTTTTGCAATACTTTAAACATTTCATGCCTTAACTTTATGAATGCAAGAATTTTGGCTCAGATTTAAGAATTTTTAAGGCCTTAACTTGTGGAAGGGCGAATTAAGAATTTTTAAGACTTTTAAATTTTTTTTAAAAGTAATATTTTAAATTAGATTTTTCATTTTAAAGTTTTAGAAATGTTGATGTTTTGTTGTGGATTTGTTTTACGATTTATGACCTTTTTGGATATTTTAAGGTTTGTTTATCTAGACTTTCAATGGAAGGACAGAAACATCTTAGGTGTCTTTAAAAACATCTTCATTTGTGTTTTGAAGATTAAGTCTTATGGGTTTGGAATGACATGAGGATGAGTAAAAGATGACAGAATTATCCATTTTGGGTGAAATATCATTTTAAGTTTTAGTTGTTTTAGTTTTCGTTATTTTAGTATTTCAACTTAAACCAAATGAAAATGATTTTTATTTTCCAGCTAGTGGTTATTTCAAGTAATGAAAATGTTTATGGTTTTATTTTAGTTTAATAATAACCCTGCATTATATATAAAATATTCTTTTTATAGTGCTGACCTTTCAAATAAAAAAATTCTACTTGTCTTGTCTGTAAAAGTGGTTTACACATATTTTCAAGGTGAAGTGTGTAGCATCATCAAACAATGAGGTAATTATTTTTGCATTTTCAAACATCCTGCTCTGTGTCCGCTCAGATAAACTGTTAATCCGAACCAAACTCACGACACTGGAGTCAATTTTGCTGGGCTGGGCTGGCTTAAATGCTCCAACAAACAGAGCAATGATTGGATACTGCTTTACGCCATTATGCTTTTGGGGTAATCAACCTACAAATGTCTTATTGCCTCTAAGATAAAGAAATTAAACCCTTTATAACACTCAAAGTAAGCTCAGCCGGAATCCAGACAAAGAAACAGCTCAGATATGAGAGATTTGGTCACTAAATTATTCCCATACTTCCATTTGTGTCATTTCTTACTGTTGATGACTATCCTAGCATGTGAAAAATAGTCATAATAAAGAATGATTCTGTGTGCTTGCACTCCTGACTGGAAGTGTATATTCCCACTGTGCCCATTACAGATGATATTTGCAGTATCTTTGATGAATTAAGGCCTTTTAGCGCTGTCGGTAAGTCATACTCAGTGTCCAGACGGTGCATGTTGGTACTGGCCTGTAGCCTCACCTCATCTACAGGACTTTAAACCTGCTAACCACTTCCTCCCAATAACCATTAATGAAGATACTGTTCGAGCGAACCTCCAAACACGTGTACCGCAGATTTCATGGTGAGCAATAATGGTGTGGAGGGAAAAAAACACAAAACAGGTAGAACAGGAGTGAGAGATACCTCGCTCTGCAGGAAATAAAATCCCTGATGTCAGCCCTACTGCAATTGGAGCGGTTAGCCAAGCCCAAGACAGGTTCTACAGGGGTACTAGAGGGTGCTAAATACACTCCAAGATGGCAAACTATCCAGTGCGTATTTGCGTTTGCGCTCTGGACAGCGTCAAAAGTGACTATTTACAATGTGTTTTTGCAGTGTTGAGCAATGTAGCCAATCACAGACATATCTGTTGATCTCTTGAATGCAATGGCCAATCAGAAACGTTTTAGTTTGTCATAATTCCCCTATATTTAACCCAGCATTTTTTAGAGTGTGTGAATAGGAAAAAAGCCCAAATGGATGTTGAGTAGCGGAGCTCTTTGTTCAAAAATAAATGGGAGCAACCGTGACTGAATATGTAGTTATTAGTTATTTTATTCAAAATATCAATAACTACCGATTGATTATTCATGATCTTGCATTCCTGGCAGGCTGATAGAAATGACTGTCATTTTAACCAAGTATTAAGCTATGAAATCTATCTACTCAAAGTTTCTCAAGATCAATTAATAATTCATTATTATTATATAATTCTTACTGTAACAGCTGGAGCGTGTGTAAGGCTGGACGAGCTTTGCGTTCCTCTGGCCAGATTGGAAATTAACGGGGAATTGGGGCAAAAATGTCTTTGCACAATTAAACTAAATCTATTACGGCTGTCGCGAATAAAGTGAAAATGAATTGAAGTGTGCCAATTGCGGCATTAAATTTAGATCTGCATCATGCATTTAGATGTTGCATTTCTTTTGAAATGTTTTTGCAGTGTTAAGCATTTGAAACAATCACAAACGTTTCCGTTGAGCTTATCGAAGCAGTGGCCAATCAGAAGCGTTCAGATGAGCCATCGCTGAAAAGCCAGTTTATTTCAGGGCGTGCGCTCGCTGACTGAATTCTGCTCTCTCGCGAATTCTCTCATCATAAACAACAAAGTGCAGATGTACCTAAGATGTAAGAGATTCATTCATCATAGTGTATTCATAGAGCTTCAGTGTTTATAATTTTCTGAGAGTTCTTAAACTCACGCTAGACTGAAGTCAGTGATAATATTCTTTGATAATGTAGCCTAAATGTTCTTTGCTCGCTTCCTTTATATTATTCATTCATTGTTTGAATAAGCGTGGAAATTTAATTGTTACAATTAACAGGCCTAACTTACAATGTTTTTATTAAATTGTGATCACGTTAAATACAAATTCGGTCATATTAAAAATATTTTACGACGACACCCATTATCTGGCACTTGCCTAAAAATACAGGTTTATGATGTGCGTTGTTAACAGATTACACTAACATTAGATTACTGGAGTTGGGTTAACCTCCACTTATGGAGAAAAAAAAAGTTTTCAAAAGCACCCCACCCCCCATATATATATATACAGTATATGTATATAATAAAATGACATCTTGTGACAACATAAGGGAGAGTAAATGGTGATTATTGTATTGTATATAGGGAAGCAGTAGTCATTGTCCAGCATTATGGATGTTCTAAAGGGAAAGTTTCTTCAGGATCCAGGAGCGTAGTAACTCCAGTTCTTGTCGACACAACTGATGGTTGAGGTCTGGTATGGAATGGAAAGACGTGTTGAGGCCAGCTTTCTTCAACAGTGAGTTGGTCTCCTCGCCCCATCTATGGAAAACCAGCTCATCTGCAGTGCCATGACACTGAAGGAGCTCAGGCAGAGGCGGGCATTGGGATGCATCTTCTACTGCCTGTGCAGAAGGTCAAACAGAATCTTTTACTTGTGCTCTACATCACGATATGAAAAATCTTTGGTCATAAGGCATTCTGGAGGGTATTAACTACCTGATATACAACTGAGTCTTTGTTGAGAAAGCTGGACAGAGCGAAGATGCCGGCAACATCCTGGTGGTACCTGCAAACCAGGTGTAATGCCATGGCACCACCCATCGAGAAGCCACCTATAGTATCAAACATACAGACATTAGACAAGCATTCAGTGGCTTCGTATTAAAACATGTTGAGCTGACTTTTTTGTAAAAATTTTTCCACTGTGCTAGTCATGAAGTGCAATGCTCTCAAATTGCTAAAAATGTGTGATCTTAGCAGCCAGCATATATGATTCTTCTTCTTAACACACTTAAGTACATTTTGTAAAAAAGTGCACTTGGTAATAATGTTAAATTAAAGCATTACTGTAAAGTACATTTTAAATCATTGTAATCTTTTTTTCATTTACCTCGATGTGTTGACTAACTTAAAAAAGCACATGTAAACTTCAACGTGTCATTCAATATTATATTTAAAGTTAATAAATTGTTAAAAAACTGTCTTTGGGCGCGCGTGCGCACGGCATCCGGTGCGTGAGGTGTGTACGCGCTCTGGCGTAGTTTACGTTAATGGGTGTGTTGATATCCAGCCGAAGAGCAATCAAGCATAACTTCAGGATCAGAAGTTGGGAATATGTGGAAAGTCACCACTCTCGAATGAGTTCGCGCGAGAGAACGTAATCTTTTCGTTTTAAGTCGGTTTGAACAATCCGGATAAGCGCAAGTACGTACCATTTTGATTAGCCGTCGTACCTACAATGACTGTGCACTGTGTAAACAATGAGTGACGTATACGCGCGAGAGATCACTTCCGCCGCTTGCGTAAACTACGCCAGAGCGCGTACACACCTCACGCACCGGATGCCGCGCGCGCGCCCAAAGACAGTTGGACATAGTGGTGTATTAGAGGTAAAAAATGATATAAATACGGTTCGGTTTCTGGCACAAACCGATCGTTTCGTGTCTTAGGACATCAATGTGTCGTCACGAGCCGCAGGGTTTAATTTGGATTTGTCTGTGCATGTTTTTTTTACTCTCATAGATTTTGTTACCATTGCCATGCATTATACGACTGATAGACTGCAACGGCTGGAGTTAAAATCATCATATGTGTTCTACTGAAGAAACAAAGTCACGTACATCTTCGATGCCCTGGGGGTAAGCAGATAAACATCAAATTTAAATTTTTGGGTGAACTATCCCTTTAAGTATATTCTTTCATAGCATGTGATTTCTGAAAGAAGTACTCTTTTTGTTAAAGTATACTAAAGTACATTTCTTTTTCACAAGGGACAATTTACCTTGTGTCAAACAACAGAGCCAGTGTCTGAAAATGAAAGGCTATAGAAATCTGAAACCCCAAAATTTCATGATTAAGATTGAACTGAACTTCTTAGATGGGAAAGGCACCACTGTAATTGTAAATGCATAATTTTTTTGCTTCACATGGGATGTGACTGTTACACGGCGTAATGCCATATATGCCCTGTATCCTGTGATGGCGTTGTTGTGTTGGTTCACGCGCAGAGGCCTGTTAATAAAGTCGCAGATTGATTCAGCTCATGCTTGTTTATTGCATCTAACGCAAACAGCGACAGTCGCATATTTAGCTAGTTTTTTTAATGAAAGGCATGCAGCAAGTGGCAAATCGCAGGTGGTTTTGCTTGTAAACCCTTTCCATGATCTTTTCTCATTCAGCAGTGGCAGATGCATCAGTGTTGATGAGTCATTGATTCAACCACTATTTTTTTTTTATTATATATTTTAAATAATGTTTTTTTTTTTTCACTTCTATACCTGTCTGTGAGTTTAGTCGCATTATGCAGGCATGTATACACTCTGGTCATTGACAATTGTCGCATTATTGCTTTATATGCAAACACAGTCTGACAGAATTGTTATGTCTGACTTAAGGATATGAAAACCCTTTCACTCTGGAGTGATTGAGTCAGGAGGACATCAATAAGTGTATGCAATTTAAAGTCTTCCCCAAACTGAAATTTAAAACAAAAAAGAAAGAGAAAAGAAAGCTGGCCTTCAGTTCCACATCATCAAACTGAGAAAATTTCTGAAGTCTTCTTTCATGCCTGTGCTTAATCTTACACATCTGGGCAAATCTGGGCACTACATCTGGGAAAACGTACCCATCAGTCTGTCAGAGCCATGTTGAGACGGAGGATGGATGGAGTTCACATGTTCTTCAAACCTCTCCTAGATGTTGTGAGCAATTATATCTCCAGGGCTAATTAACTAAGTCTACTAATTTTTAATCAAAGAGACAAAACCAAAAAATTCCATCCTAATATTGAATTTATTGAGAAATCCACATACTGTTTGGCTAAAAAATTCTATGCATGCATGTTTGACTTTGGCTTTTCCCATTAACTACGACACCTAAAAGGTTGAAAAACACAGTATTTATATATATATCTATGAAAGCGTTTTCCATGGAAAGTTATGCCGCTTGTCAGTCTAGGAAGTGGACTCAGGGTACAGACCACTTCGTTTCTTCGAGTGACTCCAATGAGTATTTATAGTTAATGACAAAATGTTATGATTTAGGAAGATAATATTTCAGCAGTCTCACAGGAACATGTGTTTTTTGAATCAGTTTCTTTGGAACCGAGTTCAGGGGCTTTTCTGTTCTTCCACACATAGCCTTTTCACACAAAGACTTTTCACTTTTCTCATTTTACTTGCAACTATTTAAGGGTATTTATGTGTTATTGGCTTTTTGGTTAACCCTTCCTTGAATGTTGCCATTTGGTTTAACTCGCTGAGCAAATCATAACCTCTTTTTAATGTCTATCCAGTCGTCTTCTCACACCCTGAGGGAATTTACCTGCGTTCTTCTAAGATCTCTTTTTACTGAATGATTTTCTGCCACTTTTATCTCATTGTGATATATATGTGAACCCAATAACCCAAATATTCTGAGATAAAGCTTAGCAGAAATATGAGAATCATCCAGAAATTCTTCTTGGCCCATTCTGGCAACAAATGAAAGGAATGAGAAACTTGATAAGTTTCATTCTTCATTTTACACAACGAGGGAGAGACTTATGAGCAGTGGTCTGAGACTCTGCTTAATTTGGAACAAGTGGAGTGTGAGAGTGTGTAAGACGGAGGAAAGCAATAAGGTAGGAAGAGATAGATGGATGGGGAGGAAAGAGAGAGAGAGAGAGAGAGGATTGGAGAGAGACGAGCCAGTAGCCATACCAATAAGCATCCTGTGTTTAGGGATCCCTGCTCGGATCTCCTCCTGGACAATGGCGCTTAAATTTTCGCACATGGAATCTATAGACTCCAAATGTTCCGGGCAATCCTGGGAAATCTTGTGACGATCGAACCACACATGAGACTGAGCCCCTCGCATGGGTGTGTACGGCCTAAAAACAAACAACTGTAGCGGTGAAGTAATAATTCAATCAAAACAAAGCTGAAGAAACTGCTAAATAAATGACTGCATTCACACAGCTGTGAGAAATGATTGTTAAATGTTTGGAATTACATGGATTTCTGCTTGAAAAATAAAATGTGATCTTATTTTCATTTATGTTATAAAGTTGTTGCAATTAAGGTTTTAATAAATAAAATACAGTGCAATCCCACCCAAATCCAAATTGTAATTTTTTTTTATTATAATCTGAATCACATTTCTCTTTCAGGTTCTTCCTATCAAAAGCTTGTGAGACTTCATTATTATTATTATTATAATTACTATTGTTTTCTAGGCCCTATACTCCCTAGTCTATTAAAGTCTTTTTAATAATACGGGTAAGTGGGTAAAGTTTGTGTTGTGGTAAGAGTTAAAAGATGTGTTCTGAACACAATGAATTCAGTAAATACCATTTAGAAGCTGGTTCAACATGTTCTTTGTTAATGGGCTTATAAGTCCACTTGACATAAAAAGTTATATTTATGAATTATAATTACAGACAGCATTATGTCTTCTTAGTTTCTATTTGAGATTTCATTGTTTAATAAGTTTTCATTTATTCGTGTTGATCTACCACATCCATCTTTGTCATGCATCCACTACAGGTACTCATCAAATCCATTTTTCCAAATATAATATTGCTTATAAAGCAAGAGAATATATTGTATCAGGTTGCTTTTTATCTATTATTCTCTTTTTTGTAAAATTCTCATTAATACTCATTACTATTTCAGTTTCAATTACAGTCAAAACTAGAGTTTTATAAATCAATAAATCTCACAAAACTAGAGTTTTGACTGTTAAGACTATAGCAGACTCCACAAAAATAGAAAAATGTCAGACACAAACATGTGCATTTACTACAAAACCAATAATTTCTCTCACTGTTTTAATAAATTATTGTATTTAACCAATAACTGTAAAGGTGTTGTGAAGGCGATGTAAAGGGAATGTTTACCTGGCTGGCGCTGTGGGATAAATCACCCGGATGTTTTCAAATGCCAGGTTTTGTCCCAACACATCATAAACCCACCTGCGCAAACCCGGCCCTGTGTCGCCTAAATGAAATGGATGAAAGTTATTACACCACCATACGTCTTATATTGGACTAAATTATTCAAATGTGTCTAAATTAAACATAGGTCTAAACATATGCAAACAGTACAAACTATTATTATTATTATTTTTTTTTACAGAGAAACAAACTTACATGGAAATAATAGTTGCATGTTGAATAAGTATATGGTTACTAAGGTGCTCTGGTTTGTTAGGTTGTTATAATGTGGTTTATACAGTGTTCTGGGTAGTACTGGACCAAGTCTAAAGAACCCAAACCCGACTCTCTAGCTGTGGCCCAAATTACATACTACACACTATATGCACTTACTGCATACTACGTACTCAACTGTCCAGTACGGAAGCCTGATTGTGCCAGTGAATAAGTAATAGAAAAGGTAATTGTGACTTTTTATCGCAATTCTGACTTTTTTTCTCAGAATTGAGTGATAGAAACTCGCAATTGCGAGTTACAAAGTCAGAATTGCGAGATATAAATCACAATTCTGTGAATCTTGTGATTCTGACTTTATAACATGCAATTTCAAAAAGTCTGAATTGTGAGATATTAACAAGCAATTGAGAATTATAAAGTCACAATTGTGAGATATAAACTTGCAATTGTAGGAAAATAGTCTTTTTTTTTTACATTATTAGGGCTGCCCCCTGATAGTGGACTAATGCCGAGTTCACACTGCACGATTTTAGCCCGATTTTTCACTCGCCGACAGGTTTTTCGAAATCGCCGACAAATGCCCGAAATCGGAGGTAGATCGGTGCTCGTTCACGCGAGTGACCCCAATAACGTGATATTTAGGCCCTGGAATGTGAATTGTACCAGGAGAACCCCGCCAAAAAAATGTGTATTTTACCCCTTGAACGTGATTTTTACTGGGGGACCCCCTCGAAAGCAATTGGGCTATTTTCAGGCTAGTTTTGAGTAGTAATTGGGCGGGTTTTGTAGCGAAAACCTGGCAACCCTGCACCAGACAGAGCTGTCGGCGATTCTTCCTATTGTGAAGTCATGCAGTGTGAAACCCCCTGTCGCCGATCCATCGTGCAATGTGAACACAGCAACAACTGAATGCTACCCCAGATAGTCCCGCAGTGTGAAAACAACGGCGATCCGACGAGTTTGAAAATCATACAGTGTGAACTCGGCATAACTATTAGTCGACGAGAAGAGGCTTATGCCGAGTTCACACTGCACGACTGTCTAGTGCAGGGTTGCCAGGTCCCCCAGTAAAAATCGCGTTCACATTCAAATTCACATTCCAGGGCCTAAATATCACGTTATTGGGGTCGCTTCAACCTGCTGACATAAAAAACAACCGGCGGCAATCGCGGATTGGGCAACACTGGTCCGCAAACTACATTTCATATAACTCCTCCCCGAACTTTCCGCTGCCCTGTATCTTGGTCTCTCATTGGCTGTAGGTCATCGCCGATGTGTTTTTCAGTCAGAACTCATTTCACACAGCGTGATTATGAATCGCCGACAGCTCCAGATATTTAGCATGCCAAATATTTGACGGGCGTCAGCGACGCACCGGCGATTCACTCAGATCGCGTCTTTGATAATTCACACTGCGTGATTGTCACTCGCATGAACGAGCACCGATCTGCCTCCGATTTCAGGCATTTGTCGGTCATTTCGCAAAACCTGTTGGCGAGTGAAAAATCAGGCTAAAATTGTGCAGTGTGAACAAGGTCGATCAAAATTTTATTAGTCGCAGAAACAAAATTGTTGGTGAAGTGGCGAAGTCATGAAGTCGTGATGGACAGATCATTAACAGCTGGTTTAAGTAGTAATTACAGTACATCGGACATCCAAACGTTCATTTTGTTCATCGACCTCAAATGTGTTTTATAATCTGAAACATGTAAGTAGCAGCAACACAACATTACATGGCCGCTCGTTTTAACGTTAACCTAGAAAAATGTGCGCTATTGAAGTGTTTGTCATTTTTGCTCATCCAGAGTAATGCATCTTTCAAATCTGTAAAAGGTCTACTTTTATTTGCGTGCACTCACAACAACAACAGAACATTGTGCTTTTGTAAAATAACGAAAGCAAACATTATTAGGTCTCTGTGAACTTGAGCGGTAAAAAAAAATATATATAAAAAATTTAACAAAGGCACCGAAACTCTGTGTTTGCCTCACCGACATGAAAAATATATCTATAGAATGCGAATTGTCTACTTTTACATGAACCAATTCAAATGGAATACAAATATTTTCAGAGTATGTAATTCGTATGAAACGTGCATGTCCACTGTGGAGATCGCTGCAGCCGAAAATACAGAAAACACTAGTTTATCATTATTAATGTTAAGGCAGTCTTCTTGCCACTGCGTGATTGTCACTCGCATGAACGAGCACCGATCTGCCTCCGATTTCAGGCATTTGTCGGCCATTTCGCAAAACCTGTTGGTGAGTGAAAAATCAGGCTAAAATTGTGCAGTGTGAACAAGGTCGATCAAAATTTTATTAGTCGCAGAAACAAAATTGTTGGTGAAGTGGCGAAGTCATGAAGTCGTGATGGACAGATCATTAACAGCTGGTTTAAGTGGTAATTACAGTACATCGGACATCCAAACGTTCATTTTGTTCATCGACCTCAAATGTGTTTTATAATCTGAAACATGTAAGTAGCAGCAACACAACATTACATGGCCGCTCGTTTTAACGTTAACCTAGAAAAATGTGCGCTATTGAAGTGTTTGTCATTTTTGCTCATCCAGAGTAATGCATCTTTCAAATCTGTAAAAGGTCTACTTTTATTTGCGTGCACTCACAACAACAACAGAACATTGTGCTTTTGTAAAATAACAAAAGCAAACATTATTAGGTCTCTGTGAACTTGAGCGGTAAAAAAAAATATATATAAAGAATTTAACAAAGGCACCGAAACTCTGTTTGCCTCACTGACATGAAAAATATATCTATAGAAAGAGAATTGTCTACTTTTAAATGAACCAATTCAAACGGAAAACAAATATTTTCAGATTATGTAGCCTAATCCATATGAAACGTGCACGTCCTCTGTGAAGATCGCTGCAGCCGAAAATACAGAAAACACTAGTTTATCATTATTAATGTTAAGGCAGTCTTCTTGCCCCCTTTTTTTTATCCCTGACGCATTCATAATTATTACTTCTGCCGGTGCGCTGTGGAAAGTTTTATGCATGCACTTGAGCGCTGATAGGCTATAGGCAATAAAGGCTCATTATTAAGAATTATATTGTTTATTGATATAAACGTGCGATTAGTCGACTAATTGCGAAAATGAACGACTACTAGTCAACTAGAAAAATCTTTAGTCGAGGGCAACCCTAGACTTTTAACTTAAAATTCTGACTTTTTTTCTAAAAATTATGAGATTTATGCTGCGTTCAATCCTCCTGGGACGATCGTACTAACGAGTTGACAAATTACGACGTCAGGTGTGTTCAAGTTAGTTTAGTCGGCACAAGATGGCGGTGTACCTTCTTTTAATAAATTACAAGAAAATACAACAGGGTCTGCATTTTTTTTACTTGGATTTCATTAACTAGCTGCATAACAAGAACATTACCAATTTAAGTTTATAGGACAACTAAACTATCAATTTAAACAAAAATTTACGTCAACTACAGGCATCCATCGATTCCACCATGTTTCTCATTGACACGCCCCCAACTCGGAAACTCTGGGCTTAAAGAAAATTTCGAGTTTCCCACTCGTAATAACAACTTTGTGGTGGTGTTCATGTGCATTCAACTCGTAAATACGATCTATCCGACATGACTTAAATGCACCAATAGACTCGCAATTGCGAGGAATAAAGTCGGAATAGTAAGACTGCAATTGCGAGTTTATATCTCGAAGTCAGAATTGTGAGATGTAATCTCGCAATTGCAAGAAAAAAGTCAGGGTTGTGAGATAAAAAGTAGCAATAACCCTTTTTTTTTTTTTTTCTTTCAGTGGTGGAAACAGTCTAGGTGTATGAATTTTATAGGGGTATTTTAAAAAAGCATCATATGACCCCTTTAAAGCTGTGACAGTCGAGTGCATGAATAGTCCAACTTTCCATGCTTCATTTTTTAAGCGTATCTTAAATAGTATTGAGTATTGAGACGCACCTCATATCGAGATATGACATTCCTTTCTTCAGTATAAATCTTTGGGATTCTTATGCTAATTTGATTGATCTGAAAAACCATATCTATTATGTCCATAGCAGAACAACATACCAATACTATGGGCTTGTTCAAATCCCTATGTCCCCAAGTATGAACCACCATAACAGTGATGTCTGCCTTAGAAACCCGTATTAAAATGCTAAATAAATCCAAAGGATATGCAGTGTGCAGGATTATGAAGATTGCGACAGAGAAACGTGTTCACTTTGTGGTCATGTCTACGCGCATTCGCGTTCTTACGCTCACTATTTCTTGTAATTATTTTTACCATAAGCCATGCACTTTTAACAGAGCATGCTCAACCTCACGGTCTCTGCACCCTTGCGCTTCATTCAGTTGCGTCGCGTGCTGCGTGAGCCGCGCTGGTCTGCGGAGGTTAGTAGGACATCATTTCTCTTTTAAAAATAGTTTTCACACCGCGTCTGCATGAGCGAGGTTTTAATCTTTTTAAAAGCACCTGAGCCATGAAGAAAGATGACAGAAGCAGTGTGTTTTCCAGCCTGACTCACGACACTCGTCTGTAGTTTAACTGCGGCCATATTCATCCCGTGTTATCTCGCGATACTCACTGCGTCACAGATCGCGTTCACCTTCCAGCACTGTGAAACTTCTCACTAATGATGAATGAATGAATGAGGTCTGCTTCATGTAAGTATAAAACAGATGCCTCTCTTCTCATGTCTTCTGATGGTGAGCTAATATTAGGGTGAGTGTTGCAGTACAGCTGATTTGTTGTCAAGTAACACAGAAAAGATTCAGTACAGCAGTTCATTTGCCCATTAGTCCAGTTGTGGCACATGTAGGCTTGCTTCACGGTCTTATAAGTCAGTAATACAAGAACACAAGCACAAGTAAAGCAAAAGAGCACATAAAAACAAAAGAACATCAGTTAAGTAGAAAACAGTGCTTGAAGTTTATCATTGCTAATATGCCAAAAAAATCTCTGTAATCTAATAAAACCCTTAGTTTTAACTGCAAGGTTATTATCACTAAGAATTTGCAGCTGGCTGTAGAAATTGAACAAGTAAATCCCAAAGTAATCGAATCTGAACTAAAATGACTCGTTTTTGGTCATAGTCAGCACTGCATGATTATTCGATATATCGACTTTGTTATGACGTACTGATAACTTTTGACATCTAGACTTTTACAGTAGTTTAAAGTGAGGTGAACCCAGGACATTTAAACACCCTCGTTCTTTAGTTGGCTGCTTATAACATGATGCATGATTTCAACTGCAAAGTGAGAACAATACTCTGACCCTTTCCCATTTCTGTTACAAGCAGTGTTGTGGGTAACGCATTACAAGTAACGCGAGTTATGTAATCAGATTACTTTTTTCAAGTAACTAGTAAAGTAACGCATTACTTTTTAATTTACAAGAGAATATCTGAGTTACTTTTTCAAATAAGTGACGCAAGTTACTTTTTTTTTTTACAATTTATTGATTGACAGCTCTGGTGTTGCCATGGCGACAGAAATCAGAAGATGTTACTGTAGTTCTAAAATAAATATGAATGTGCATTAATTCATCTCACTCACAAAAAAACAACAAAAAACAGATTCAGTATTCCTCAAAATAAATACAAATAATGCAACTCAGAATATGACGCAAACCTGCAATAATAAAATGTTAAACAACACAAATATCCTTTATGTATTTAATCCCATTCTATAAAGCAATGTCTTTGCTTCTGACCTCTGATGATCCAGTTCAAGCGTACTAATAAGCACAAATTACTCTAGACGAACATTTGTGTGTCTTTGTTGTTTATTGCTGAAGTGTGTTGGAATTTCTTCTTCTGCATTCGACTGTACTTTCCCTTCAGCCTGAGGCTTATTCATTTCACTTTTGGTGTGAAAAGGCTTTTATATTTGCCCAAAATATAACTTTTTTATTTTAAAAACAAACAAGCAAGCCCTGTCCAGATTTAAAAAGTAACGCAAAAGTAACGTAACGCATTACTTTCCAAAAAAAGTAACTAAGTAACGTAATTAGTTACTTTTTTATGGAGTAACGCAAAATTGTAATGCATTACTTTTAAAAGTAACTTTCCCCAGCACTGTTAATAAGAACATCAGAATTTAGCATATATTGAGATAATGCAGAATATAGTTTCATGGCTGTTTAAACATATTTATAGCCAGTCACTTTTCTTAATTCACACCCATTACAAATTTTCATTCAGGACCTACATCAGACCCTTTAGCTGAAGAAGAATGCTCTACGTACTTGCATAAAAATCCCTGTCTCATAAAATGTTGATGTTACATTGAACATCATTGTTTGCTCACAGAGATTTAGGAGATGTCTACAAGTTACTTTAAACACATACTGGGGTCTTATCTTTCGTGCCGTTTCACTTGATTCTGGTAAATTTCAGTTGCTCTGAATGCTCAGACCACACATTCTGCGTCCTAAATCTCACCTCCTTCCACCTTTTCTCTCACTGTGTGGGAGGGATGGACTACATTTGTGTTTAACTGTGACTCTGTCTCCAATACTGACAAATGACTGGAGGAGATCCCCCATGTGCTAAATCAGTCCTGTACCACACTGTCTGTTTATGCCTGCCCGCTATAGGCAGCTTGATAGTGGATCTGTGTTTTGTCACAAAGTCTGAACTGAATATACTGTATGATAAATTGTTCATATGGTATTGACTGAGATAATGTAGCTAATTAATCTCAATTGCTGCTGAAGAAAACCTTCAAGGTCTATGATTATTTATAGATAATTTGATTAATGCAGTAAGGTTTTGATCAAATGCAATAATCATTGTACGAATAGAGTAATTGCTCAGACTTACAGTATTTTTTTTTAAGTACAGTGACCTCCGTGATGTCAAAAGGTGCCTTTAGGTTTCATAAAGCATTATTAAAGCTGATTTTTATTTGTATGACGGGTTTATTTATACCATGTTAAAGGGATAGTTCACCCCAAAATGGAAATGCTGTCTCACTCTCATGTTGTTCCAAATCTCTATGAATTCTTTCTTTTAGTGAACACATATCAATGAGACATTTTGAAGAATGGTGGGATGTAAACCATACTGACAAAAAATAAATAAATACATTGTACAAAGTATCATCTTTTGTGTTCCACAGAATAAAGGAACGTATGCAGGTTTGGAACAACATTAATGTTAGAATATAACCAAATATGAATATAAATAACAACCTGAAAAACACTACACAATTGCATATACAAAACAAATACTTTCATATGTTTTCTCTCATAAAATGTACTCTTAGATTCAGTCCCATGCATGACGTTGCTGTTGTTTCTTTCTTTGCTGTGTTTTAAAGAGAGGCTGTGGCTGTGGCATTTGTCCTTGCTCTGTGGGCTGTCGTGGTTTGTGTCATTGCTCCAGCTGGGACAGTTTGTTTGGAAACTTTAATTGCAATGGTTGAACTGATCTCAAAATGGTGGACCCTTTAGTGTTTCATTTTTTCTTTTAGCTGCCAATTCTAAACTCTTTATTTACAGTATCCAGCAGGACTCCACCATCAGTTTGGCTTGGCCTACCTGGGAGATGTTGCGATTCCTTCAGAGTCCTCAAAAAGCATCTTCTGGGTTTTCAAAAGATGCTAGTTGGGCTTGACTAATCATCAACACCCCCAAAAGTGTCCTGGCCTGCCAAAGTATGATAAATGGGTTTGATTGGTAAAGCTCCAGGAGAAGTTTGAAGCAGTGAAGTAACTTCCTCAGTCACGGATCAAAACCCAGGCATGTGCTTTCCAAAGGTTGGCAGACTACTATATTTGTTTTGTCCCATTTTTCACAAACCTGACATAAAAGACAGCTGGAAACTGTGACATGGACCCATGCAGGAGGCTGAAGAAGTGTTCATTATGTCATAAGGGGCATTTACCACAGAACAAGGTGTGCTGGTGTAACGGAGGCCAGCGGTAGGTGCTGTGCAGGTAAACCTCACTCCCCTGATCTCAAGAGACGCACTAGCGACTGACGCTAGTGGCTGCAGTCTTTAGCCTCCTTGTTAGTGCGTCCGCCTCCCATGCCGGAGACCTGGGTTTGAGACCCACTCGGAGCGAGAACGAGGTGTGGCGGAGAGGACCCGGGGGAGAGGGGTTACGTTGGTGCCGTGACCCAGATGGGAGTGAGGTTTTAGGGGGGTGAGTGTAACGGGAGGCCAGCGGTAGGTGCTGTGCAGGTAAACCTCACTCCCCTGACACCTTGGACATATAACAAAACATGTCATGTCAACGAGCTTAATACCGTTCTCTGCTTTTATCATACTAGACAGTTTTAGAGGGGAGGAACTGCTCTCTGACGGCTGTGATTTTTCATCACATTGTTTTTCTTTGAGTTTTCTTTTCATGTTTTTTAAAAAATTTTTAAAGCATGATCTCACAGGTTCATCACCCGTGAGGCTCTCATGGCACACCACTTAGTGCTCATCAGTCAGTGTTGATGAAAGTCTTGCCACATTCATAGTAAGCATAGCAATGACTAAAACAACTGACCATTCTGAGTCAGCCCATTCTGAGGTGATTTAAGTTTTCAGTATGAATAGTGGATGATGGCCTCCAGATGAGCTCTCAAAGCTCTTCTTTCACATAGACGAAGCTCGCAGGTCATCCTCTGGTCATTCACACGTTAGAAGTCTCTCTTCAAATGAAGAACACATAATCGGAATGTATTATGATTTTCAGGGAGGAGTTCACTAGTGCTTGTGGATGGCGTGTTTTATTTGCACATTGTTTCAGCAAATGATTCACTGAAAGTGTTATGGAAATCAGGTAAAGCAAACGTGACCAAAAAAAAATCTTCCCCTGAATTTGATGAATAACTGCCATTATGATTACTAGAAAATGTATGTTTGTTTTAAATAAAGTAGTGCAGTGTTAATTGTGAAATCATGAAAATCAGTTTTGAATTGTCCTCTCACTCGTGAAAAAGAAGTGTTTAATTGTATTGAATGTGCACTTGTAGTGTACTTCAAGTATACTTAAAATGATAGATAATTTCGAGAACGAGGTGTGGCGGAGAGGACCCGGGGGAGAGGGGTTACGTTGGTGCCGTGACCCAGATGGGAGTGAGGTTTTAGGGGGGTGAGTGTAACGGGAGGCCAGCGGTAGGTGCTGTGCAGGTAAACCTCACTCCCCTGACACCTTGGACATATAACAAAACATGTCATGTCAACGAGCTTAATACCGTTCTCTGCTTTTATCATACTAGACAGTTTTAGAGGGGAGGAACTGCTCTCTGACAGCTGTGATTTTTCATCACATTGTCTTTCTTTGAGTTTTCTTTTCATGTTTTTAAAAAATTTTTTAAAGCATGATCTCACAGGTTCATCACCCGTGAGGCTCTCATGGCACACCACTTAGTGCTCATCAGTCAGTGTTGATGAAAGACTTGCCACATTCATAGTAAGCATAGCAATGACTAAAACAACTGACCATTCTGAGTCAGCCCATTCTGAGGTGATTTAAGTTTTCAGTATGAATAGTGGATGATGGCCTCCAGATGAGCTCTCAAAGCTCTTCTTTCACATAGACGAAGCTCGCAGGTCATCCTCTGGTCATTCACACGTTA